CCTCTGCCAAGCATCTGTTGGCAATCAGCTGGACAAGCTTCTTGGACCAGGCTATGGATGCTCTTGCTACCACGGTGGCGGTGGCTGAAGCTCTGATCGTCATAGCTGTGGCCTCGTGGCCTTGCGCAGTGCAAATTCTGCTTTTCTATCTAGTCTATCTCTTACCATTCCCTCTCCATCTTCAGAGAGGAGGCCAGACGTTTAGGGTGCTGTTATCGGTGTATCCACTAGGGGGACCTGTAAGAACTTAGGAGTAAAATTAGGCAAGACATACAGTTTCTTAATATTAGAAGGGTAATGCTTAGCTATAGCATTCCTTAACCAACTGTTTTTCTAAGAATTCAGGGAAAGGGAAAAATTTCTCCATCCCGGGGGTCCTGGGGAAAGTCTTTGCTCCCTCAGGGACTAGACCCATCTGCAGGATCATGGCTGGAGGAGTCTTCTGCCTTAGGTTTGGGATGGAGCTCCAAGGCAAAAAAGGTATTTTTAAGTTAATATTGGTAGTCGTCAGGTTTGAAAAATCTCATAGTGGGCTCTCGAACCTCCATCTCCTCTCCTTCCTCCTCCTGTGATAGAAACCCCCTTTTTCCCCATCCCCCATTCGTTGTCCTCAATCTGTGAAAGATCCCACACAGAACAGTCCCTCATACAAGAGAAATTATCTTTTCTAGCTGCCTTGGTCGGCCAGTGAGGCCTTTCCTCCTCAGGGTAAGGTCTGTCCAGTTCTCCCTGGGGGTAGAGGGCTATGAGAGGGAAAGTGGCTACCATCCCCTACTGGGGAATCCCTATGAAAGTTAGAAATTTTTTCCCTCATGGTTTGCCTGAAGGTTTGCATCATTTCTGGCATTAAAATCGTGTCCGCGCCCCTTTTGGGGTTACTCACGAGTAGACCCATAGGTGATGCTCCATCGTCAGAAGGCGTCGCCATAGTGCCCTGGGCATTGGGAATGTCTGGGACGCCGTCATTAGGTATAAAATTGGCTTATGGTAGCAGCGACAGCCACCCTGCAGCCCTCCCCTGTTTCCTGAGAGGGTTTCCGCTTTGCTGCCTAATCCAAGATGGTACCCGCAGCATGCTCCACGGGCGGAGAATGGTGCTGCTTTTTGGTACGCTTCCCTTGTGTCGCGGCAAGGCCTGCCATGGTGGCGGAGGTAGAGGCTGCAGCTTTAATTTTGCCCATATTGGGTTGTGCTAGCGGCAGAGCGTCTTCCCTCTCATTTTCTACAAGGAATCTGTCTACCTGTCTGACATGCTCCAGGCCAGAGCGACTGGCGGAGGTTCAGGCAAAGAAAGAAAAAAGGTGGGAGGCAGAAGAAAACAAGCGAGGGAGGAGGCGGCAGAGAAGGAGGGACAGTTACAGAGTTAAGGGTAAAATTCAGAAAGCCAGTAGAATCAGACAATAGTCAAAAAAGGCACGAGTGCCAACTTCATGCTGGTCTCACTACGGAGGCAGGAACAAAACTGAATTTATCCCACTGAGAGGACAGGAAGTGAAGTTTGGTTCCTGCCTCCCTAAGGATAGGGTAGGAAACACCCATCAAGATGTCCTCCTCTCAGAGGGAGAATGGTCCCCATTCAGGTTAATTCTGGCACACATTAAGAAACATCACCTCCATTGTCTGGCACCTGGGAAACGCCAGACCACGCTATTGTTCCACAACAGGAATCCCATCAACCCATTGTGAAACTAGCCTCCACACTTCAGCATACACTCAGGATACATTTTGGGTATAAATATACCCAGTCTTGGACATGCACAGTGTGATATCTGGGTGTGCACAAAGCTATTACCTCTGATCATAACTCAGGTCTTTCATGGTTTCACTGGTTGGGTCCATGCATCTTCTCTCTCCAACCTCTGGACCTCATCACCTCTACAGGATAGGTATAGTATCACCCTGATCTCCCCCATCCTTTCTATTTGTCTGCTAACTCCTTTTTATATCTTCTTGTATGCTTGCAAATCTTGATTGGATTGATTGGATAAATATTCAAATTATTGTTTTTCCTTAACAAAACCCATTTCTTTTTACAATTTAGGCTATTTACTCAACCAAGGGTCTTAAAGGGACTATCTCCATAAACATTGATAGCAGATTCTCTCTGTACCCCACGCTAGCTCTGCCTTTGATGATAATTACCACAATCATACCAAAGGCAAGAATATTATTTCATAAAGCTGATAGGAGTAACAGGTTTTGCTAAGAATCCTGTCCTTCAAGCTAGCCCTTCTCATAGCAATTAAATCAGCTAGGAGAATCTCAGAACTTGCTGCCCTTTCTATCAAAGATCTCTGTTCCTTTCAAGAGGATTGGGTGATCCTGCACACTGACCCTTCATTCCAAAATTCTAGCTTTCATGGGGATCAGGAAATTCGGCTTCCCTCTTTCTGCCCACATTCTAGCCATCCTAAGGAACCTGACTGGCTCAAGTTAGACTTTTGGAGGGCTCTCTGAATCTACATTAGAGACATAAGCCTTTAGATCTTCAAATGCTCTCTTCATTTTCTCACCCAATTCCATGTGAAAGAAGGCATAATCTACCATAACAGGTGAATTAAGGCATGCATCTATTTATGATGTACAGCATCTTCTGATGCCTGCCAAAGTGACAGCCCTTTTTACATGACCAGCTGCTATTTCTGCAGCCCTTTCCACCAATGCATCTATTGCAGAACCCTGTAGGGTAGCAGCTTGGGCACTGGCCTCTACCTTTGTGAGGCATTATAAAATTGACACTTTGGCCTCAGCAGAGGCAGCATTTGGCAAACAAATGATCCAAAGGATGGTTTCTCAGTAATTCCTCTCCTCTATCCTATACCCACCAGGGAGAGGGGAGCTTTTCGAGATCCCACACAAGGATAACTTCCCCCACTGACTGGAGAATGAAACACTGGGCTTACTTTAAAGGTTTCTTCTCATCACTGGATGGGAAGGTATTCTTTGCCACCCTAGTTGGCTGGGAAGATATCAAAGAGGAACTACCCATTGAGGCAGGGAGTCTGCATACAACCATTGTTTGTTATTTTTTCCAATATGATAGTATCTCCAGTTGCAGGTCTCCAAGGTAGAACAGACTGATATGCTGATAAGGTTATGCTGAGGTGGAGCTGTGTCCTCTGAAGTTTGGCAAGACATGAACTGGGGAGGTGGGGTGCCTCCTTGGGCTAAGTGGAAGCTTTTGCCAAAAATTTGCATATGCCCTGCCCACAGAGCAAGGAGGAGGCACAACACACACACAAGGTCACCTTCTCATCTACTTATGAGAAGAAATCTTCACAATAAGCCCAGTAGTATAGCTAGGAGATCTGAAGATTGTCTGGCAGCCTGAAACTCTAGCTCTTTTTGTGGTGAGCTAGGTTTATTTTGGGGGCTGAGAGAACTGTGACTGACCCAAGGTCACCCAGCTGGCTTCAAGTGGAGGAGTGGGAAATCGAACCCAGTTCTCCAGATTTTATTAAGTCCAGAGTTTCTTTTAAAGCATTAAGATCAACCCCCCTCAAACATACATCTTTAAAACAAATTAAAAACAGTTAAAATCCATACAAAGATATAAAAACAGCAATTAAAACATTGGTCAGGAAGGGAGGGCTCACTGAGGGAATGCCAAGCAAGACAAAAAAGTCATCACCTGTTGGCAGAAGGGAACAGACGAATCTCCTTTGGAAGAAGGTTCCAGAGCTTTGGTGCCATGACCAAGAAGGCCCTCTCCCAGTTTGCCACCTGCCTAACTTCAAAAGATGAGGCCACCCAAAACAGGGCCTCTGAAGAGGACCATAGTGATTGGGCAGGTATGTTGGTTCCAAACAATATAGTGCTTTAAAGATCAAGACCAGCAATACAGAGCTTTGAAGGTCAAGACCAGCACTTTGTATTGTGCTCAAAAGCAAATTGGGAGCCAGTGTAGGCCAAGACTGGAGTGATATGGTCCCTACGACACCCTTCAATCAACATCCTGGTTACAGCATTCTGTACCAACTGATGTATCTGAACACTTCTCAAGGGCAGCTCCATGTAGCTGTTTCCAGGGCATGCAAACATAGTGGTCAGATCTTTTCTGCCCGGGAAAGCCTGCAGCTGGCTAACTAGTTGAAGCTGCACTCCTGGTCACAACTGCCACCTACATATCTAAGAGTAGGCCTGGGTCCAAAACACCCCCAGACAACACACCTGTTCCTTCAAGGGGAGCGCAACCCTATCCAGAATGGGCAACACCATAAATCCTGGGTTCAGACCTTCCACCCACCAGTAGCACTTCCAACTTGTCAGGGTTAACCTTCAGTTTATTATCCCACATCCACTCCAAAACCGCCTCCATGCTTTATGCCAGAAGATAAGTGAAGAGAGCTTCAGCTCACTGGGATCTTCAGTAACTCAGCATTAAAACTGCATTGAATCTGTGCAACTTATAGAGATTATTAGAAGACAAGTCACTAACACTGACACTTTTTCTTTTGGTAGTTCCGCTGTCTTGATTTTTCCATTGGATTGCCTTAACTAAAAGCTGTCCCTCTCTTTTTTTTTACCAGCTTCCCCCCCCCTAAAGTTTTGGAGTTAACTATGATTAACATTGTATCTTCCCTGACATCTTCACTAACGACAGTTAGCACAAAACCAGTTTCCGATTATAATTTCAAACCGTGTTTTTGCTCTAGCTTAATGAAAATGGCAGCACGGTCCCGTTAATTATCTCCATAACTGAAAAGTGGGGAAGAGGAGGTATGAGGACAGGAGGGATGCTGTCAGTCTGCTATGTATGCAATGAGCCACAGTGTGGGGAATCAGACAACTGTGAACAACTAATCTTGTATTAGTAATAGCAGTACCGGCAGAGAAGAGTCCTAATTCCCAGAAGCTATTCAATTATAAACTGGCTTATTTGGAATTCACTGTTTCCTTTGTGCATTCATGTTTTTTTTAGCATAAAGTGCACAGGGAGGACTTGATTCTGGCCCCCTCAACAGAAAGGATCTAGCAGCAGTCACCTTCAATAAATGCACTTGGTAGTTTGTTCATGAGCTCCTGGAATTTTTTCCTCTCATACTGGACAGAGTGCTGTTGGAGATAAGGTCGGAGGGCTTGAATGGTAAAATTTACCATGTCCAATTTCATTAGGTCCAGAATCCGAAAAATCTCTCTGTCACAGAAAACAGAAATTGGAGACACGTATCTTCAACTAAATCATCATTTCTAGCACTAAAGATTAATTGAACAATTAAATTAGTCACTTTTAAATAAATCTGGAAGATCATCATGTACTACCATACTACACAGGTTTAATTCCATTATCTACCCAACAGTATCTCCCTAATGTAGAAAGTCTCACTAAAGAGATTCTAGGTGACTTTGTCCCTGATACATCAAAGGAACAATGGAAGATTTTGTTCACTTACTGTGAAGCTTCCTTTCTCAGTGGTTTAGGAGTGGGACAGTCCGTACAGTTGGGGATAAGCTCCTCCTCCAACTGCAGGGTCGGCTCCAAGCTTAGATCCGTGTGGGGAGGGGCTTATCCCCTGAAGGCTTCCCAGGTCATGCTCAAGCTCGCTGTACCCCATCTGGACACCACTAGAAGACCATCTCTCCAAACCAGATAAACTATCACATAAACTATCACAGAACCATTAACACACACTCAAGAGAACCTGGCTAGGGAATAACCAAGTGTTGGACCGAGGAACTGAGGGCAAGTAAAACCCCTTTCCCCGAATAATTTTCATTAAAGTATCCAGCTAACATTTCAACTTTGCAACATCCCATGCCAAACGGCGAAGCAAACCCACCTCAAGGAAGCTTCATGGTAAGTGAACAAAATCTTCCATTCTCCAGTGGTTCAGATCATGGGACAGTCTGTACAGTTGGGACGTAGAAAAGCAGTCTGCCCCAATGGAGGGGTTAAGCTTCTCTGTCTACAGGGTGTGTTGCAAGACTCTACGGGCCGAAGAACGCCTCTGCTGATGCCAATTTTTCCACTCTATAGTGCCTGGTGAATGAATGGACAGAATTCCATGTGGCTGCTCTACAAATTGCCTCCAGAGAAGGAAACGAACAATATGCCACCAACGTTTCAGCCCCCCTTAAGGAGTGAGCCACAATCCCATCCAGTAGTTCCAAACCCTTGGCTCTGTACGCCAGAATGATGCACCCCTTAACCCATCTACTTAAGGTAGAGGTAGAAACCTGTTCACCCATAGAAGACTTCCTGAAAGACATGAAAAGCGTTTCAGATTTCCTGAACATCTTAGTCCTATCAATATAGAAGCTAAAAGCCCTCCTCACGTCCAGGCAATGCCATTCCCTCTCTTTATCATGAGTGGGATTTGGGCAGAAATCGGGGAGAATCACTTCCTCAGACCTATAAAACACCAAATTTACCTTCAGCATAAAGGCGGGATCTAAACAAAGAACCGCCTTGTCTTTGTGGAATATACAAAGATCCCTATTGACAGACAGAGCCCTAAGCTCAGACACCCTATGCACAGAAGTGATGCCCACCAAAAACAAAGTCTTGAAGGTCAATTTCTTAAGTGGACATGAGGCCATAGGTTCAAAGGGGGCCTTACATAGTGACCTCAGCACTGTATTCAAGTTCCATGTAGGAAATCTGTGTACCTGTGGAGGATTAAGAAAAGGAGGCACCTCTCAAGAATCTTTTGACGTGAGGATGGAGAAGAAGTGACCTCTCATGCCTAACTCCCTGAACAGCAGAAATGGCTGAAGCCTGTCTCCTCAACGTGCTAGTGCTGAGACTTTTGTCTAAACCATCCTGCAAGAAATGCAGAATGGCCTTAACTGAGGCCTTAAGGGGATCTAACTTATTCTCAATACACCAGGAGTGGAAGACTTGCCAGGTGGCACTGTAGACTCTATTAGTGGATTTCTTTCTGATAACCTTGTCAGAATATCCGCTAGCACTTCCCGCACAACCTCCACACTGTGAGCCTGAACAATTCCCGCTAGCACTTCCTGCTCAACCTCCACGCTGTGTGCCTGAACAATTCCGGTTGCAAGTGTCGTGTCATGCCTTGCACTAACAAGTCCTCCTGAGAGGGGAAGCTGCCAGTGTTCTCTTATCGATAACTTTTTTAGATCTTGAAACCACGCTCTTCGTGGCCAAAAGGGAGCTACCAGCATCACTTCTGCCTGTTGCTGGCGTATTTTCTGAATCACCATGTGTAACATCTGTTTTGGTAGAAATGCATATAGAAGACCTTGTGGCCATTCGCTAGTCAGAGCATCTGTTCCTCTGGCTTGGTCGTTTCTCGTTCTGGAGAAAAATTCCAGACCTTGACAGTTTGACTCCGTCGCAAACAAATCCATCGTCACCCTTCCAAATCTGTCGCAGATTTGAAGAAAAACTTGCTTGTTCAGCTCCCACTCTGACTGGTCTAATCATCTCCGACTTAACCAGTCCACCAGCACGTTCTTTCCCTGCCATGTGGGTCACTTTCAAGGACAATAGGTGATTTTCCACCCAGGTCATTAACTCGGCCGCTTCATTGAGCAAGGCCCGCACCCTGGTTCCTCCTTGACAGTTCACGTAGGCCTTTGCCGTCATATTGTCCGTCTTGACAAGCACATGTTGACCCGACAACTGTCTGCTGAA